ATAAACTTTCGTGAGTTAAAACCTCACTTCTTAGAAGTGAGGTTTTAACTCACGAAAGTTTATGCCCAAATAAATCTGTTAGTCTTTAAGGTGCCACCAGACTCCTTGTTGTTTTTATGAAAAAGATGTTACTTCCTATAAATACAAATTAAGACCTTGATCCTGCAAGTAAAATGCCAATTCATGTCAATAGACCAGATACTAAATGACTGATCCCTTGCACTTCTGTGAATGAGCAACCTCCATGTTTTGGACATTTAGTCTAATTCTGAATAAGCCCCCAAAGGTTTGAATTTTTAGCTGAAGTTTAGCCAAGCTATCTAAATCTTTTCGATGTTCAAGAAGCAAAAGGCTTCCTTGCAAGATTTCCTACTCTTCTTACTTCCAGTCAGACCGCAAATACCACAAGAACATGCTATCTCACTTCGGATTCTCTTGCAGAACCAGGCTCATATTACATAAACAGATGAAAAATAAAGCTATTGCTCAGCCCTGAAATTGTGCATTCTTAAATACTACGGGTGAAATCCTGGCTCTGCCAACATCAATGGGAGTTTTGACATCTATGTCAATGGGATCAGAATTTCATTCTGTACACAGTAAAGCATTCACATGGTAATCATTTTTAAGAGTCTTCAATAACGGTGCCTTATAAAGCTTGCTTTCTCTCCAGGAAGCCAAATTAAATTGCATTTCAATAACTAGAAGAGCCCCAGTACTGCCCTTGCCCCATGACTTCAATGGGGCTCTGTCTGGGCACAGCAGTCCACCCACACACTACATGTTGCAAGTCTAGAACAAAGGTTGCAATGTAAAATAACAAAAGCAAAGAAAATCAAAGGTAACTATGTCATTCAGCAATATGCTACAGTGGATTTGATTCGGCATCAAGTAGCTGCATAAACTTTAAATCTCTGTCCTTTTGAGGTCCATGTTAGAATACCTGCCACACAGGGGCACACTTAAAAAGTCTATTTTTGCTAATACTCTCTTGTGTTGTATCTGATATATAGGCACAGATAGACGCTTTCAACTCTCTGATCAGACTCCTCACCTTGCTTAATTATTTCAAGCCGAAATTCATCCTTATGCAGAGGGTCAGCATGAGATCTATGAAACTTAAATCTGCAAAAGCAGAGCTTCAAGGACTTATTTGTCTTCTCCTGCTTGTCTTCTGCACAGGAGTGAATTTCACCCCTAGTGACTAATGGTATGTGACTCTAAAAAAGAGAGTATAAAGATTCAGAATGGCTCTGAGGATCATCCAAGAGTAGGCCAAGCATTTCATGTGAGAGTAAATGTTGCAATCTATCTGAATAGAGTGATGGATAGGGAAGAGAAACAGAGCTAGTCAACGTAGCAATCAATATTTGTTCTTTCCATCACTTATAATTCATTTTTTTCAAAGGAGTTTGTACAGTACCTATTTCTGTTAAAAATATTTGATATCTTAACAACCCGAAGACCATTAAAAGTAAAGTATTCTGATGAGTAATAAGCCTCTAGAGTAAGAGAGCTCAAATTAAGAACACTTACTGAGGAAGCAAGGAGGGATATATTCTGAAATAAGTTCACATTAATGGTACTGCACTAGTGTGTTCACTTGACAAAATAACGGAAATGCCTACTAGAAATGTGCAGTTACAAAGCATCTAGGGTAGAATTATCAAAAGCAACTAAGGACTAGATCCACAAAGAGATTTAAGTGCCTCACTCCCACTTTACGTGCCTAAATCCAAACTTTAAATCCTGTAAACCCCTGCTTAGCTGCTGGCCAAACCTGTAGGCAGTGCCTCCAAAAGCGGGTTCGGGCCCCGGTGAAAAAAATTTTGGGGGCCCCCCAGCAAGGGCGGACCGGCTAAACAGGGCCGATGGGGTGGGGGAGCCGGACCCCGGGCCCCCTTCCGGACTGCCGGGACCCGGTAAGGCGACGAGCGGGGGGGGAAGCCCGGGCCCCTTCTGGACCACCAGGCCCTGGTAATTTGTACCGGCTTCCCCCGCCTCTCGTCGGCCCTTCCTGAAGAGGTCTGTAACCGTGCCTTTATGGGACACAGCTGAGAATGCCAAATTCTTCTTGAACCAAGCTTGAACCAAGAACTTTGCAATTACTGTATGTATTTGATTCCTTTAACCAATTTTAACTCTCACTTTTCTTTCTTTCTTTCATTCTATGAATAAACCTTTAGATTTTAGATACTAAAGAATTGGCATCAGCATGATTTTTGGGTAAGATCTAAGTTATATATTGACCTGGCTAGTCCTTTGGGATCAGAAGAACCGTTTATTTGAAGAGATTGGTTTTAAAGAACCACTCATCTCTAAGTCTAGTGTTTTCAGTGGTAATACAAGGACCGGTATGTCTAAGGAAACTTTAGGCTTTTATGACTTCTTGTTAGCCAGTGTGGTAAAACAGGAGTTTACTTTTGTTGCTGGTTTGGTATATCCTATGGGGGATTAACCACCAATCTTGGGATGTATCTGCCCTATTTCTCAGCAGTTTGTCCTGAATTTAGCACTCTCAGTTGTGGCCCAAGGCGGCACAATTATAGTATATCTTGGTCTTGTGTAAATTACACCAATGCAACTGTGCATACAGAAGTACTCAGCTTCTCAATACCACCTTCAGATTATGTGCCAACTCCATCTGAGAGGAATTTCTCTACTGACACTGTAGCCTCAAGCAATTTGCAAGGTATTTTTCCCACATATCAACATCAAATCAACTTAACATTTTGATTCTGAATGGATGGATCAGACTGCCGAAGTTAGTATTCCAAAGTAACTTCAAACTGATACTGGGTGACTAAGATGTTTTAAGATGCATTACAAAATATATTATTTTATTAATCGTATCAGGATTTCACTTTCAATTGTAAATATATACTTTTTCACACATTTAGAGCTCATGTTGATGAAAATGTTCAAAATTGTTTCAGTGGTCCTTGGCAAAAAAATAGCCACACACCAATGCCAAATCCTGTATGTAATATCTTGAGCTGCTTGTAATGAGGTGGTGAAGTTGTATTACAAACTTTCTTAGTATAATAACTGATCAGTCAGCCC